CTTCTGAAACGCCACTCCCAGCGTGTACACCGCCACTGGCATCAGCGCCTTCAGCATCTGGTCGTGGGGGCACGGACGGACAGGAGGGGTTGGGGAGAACGGGGGGGGGGGGGGGTGGGTGGGCATGGAGAGAGGTGGAGGGACACGGAAGCAGAGGCAGAGGCATGAGGACAAAGAATAAGCAGGATACATGTACGAGTGGGCGAGGACCCCAGATAACAGCACTACGTTTTTCTGGTGACAAAGGACGGAAGCTCGGGAGGAAAAAGGGAACGAGAGCAGGCAGACGAGCTGTGCTAAGAAGATAGGATGGACGCCATTAGGCACGCATTACGGGCCAACGCCGTGGCAGCAGAGAAGAGCGACAAGCACAGCACACTTTAACCAGGAGTAAGGGGAGAGAGTGGCACCTGGATGAAGGAGACGGAGAGGTAGATGTAGGCGGAGTTGGAGAACCAGAGGCTCATGGCGTAGAGCGCGCCGATGGGCAGCACGGACGAGACGTACATCTCGAGGCTCATGGCCACCGGCTCCACCACGCGCACCACGCGCACCAGCACGAACGCCAGCGACGAGCAGAACGCCATGTGGATCATCGTCAGACTGGATGGGGGCGCGGCAGGCGGGATAGGGAGGGGGAGAAGCGGGAGGAAGGGGAAGAGAAGGGGAGTCCAAAACGGCGCTTACGCGGGGAGGTGAGTAGAGCAGAAGGTAGACGCGCAAAACATGGAGATGTGGACGTTCTGTTAGATTTCGACGTGGATCACGAGGCAGCTTCCAGAAGCTCACCTAATGGGATACGGCCAGTTGTACATCTTCCTGTCCAGGATTGTACTTATTGAAAATAATGACGGAGAAGCTTAAAACGATCCATATCGCCACGTAGAAGTAGCTCAATATAATTCTCCGCAACAAAGGACTAAGGAACGCCATGGCGCGATTAGTTTGAGAAGTGAAGGTAACGAAACACGAAACAGCACCAGGTAATAGAGCGATGCTAGAGCAATAGAGCTTGCTCGCGATGTCCTGATTTCAGTGCGATTTGGCTTGCTGAGTGACGGCAGGCAGAATCTAGCAATCGCTGTCACTGGGTCTCTAAGACCGTTTGGGACTTGCTACTCGTGCAAGGAAATGCTGGAACGGGGTTCTCTGCATTGCTCCTTGATTCGTCAGCTGCTGTGAACCTCACAAGCAACCTCGGCAATTCCAAACAGCTCATGGAAATCTTCGAATGGCCATGCTCAGCTGCCGGCGCGTGTCACGGCGTGAATAGACAGCCGACAAACAGGACCTGGCTGTCAAAAGTGTCCTGCTAATCTCTAGAGAGCCGTGACAGTGCCTGCCTGGTATTAGGGCGGGTCCAGCGCGTACGTTTGCAGGTCCTATACGGTTTATTCGTCGTGGTTTCAAAATTTATCAGGCGGTGCACAGCGGTTCTGAAATTGCACCTTTTTAAACCGTAACGGAATACAGATTACCGCACTTGATGAACTTTAATGTACGGAAAACGTACGCGCTGGACCCGCCCTTAGAGGAATATTGGAATCACTGTATTCTTATATGCTATCACTACCATGCACTGTACGTTGTGAGATTGAGAACCCTTATGTAACCAAACCAGGTATTACGAAAGTCTGAGACACATCAAAACAGGCATTCGTCTCAGTGGCATTCTGAAGTGCTGGCATTCATCATCAGGGAAGCTCAGGGAAAACATTTGCGAACAGATCGTCGAACTGCACGAACAACTCCCGCAGCTCGCGTACCGCCAAGGAAACTTGACGGCCAACATTTATATGTGATCCACGATCCTTTCAGAAGCAGAGTTCTTCCGCTGAAGCAAGGAGTCATGTCGCTATCTTTCCCAACTATTGCCTGAGATAAGGCCCGATAACATACCCTGACCATTTGCAGTATACGGCGTTAGTGTCCCTGTTACTTCTTGATCATCTAGAGACTAAGCAAGGTTCACGCGGTTACGGCGGAGTCTTGCTTCCGTCTGACCATTAGCCATCATGAATCCCCTAACGCAGATCAAGAACACTCAGAAAATAACAGCGCGAGAGGACTGCTAGAGGAGTGTCGGACGAAGCGTCATGGCACGCCAAGTACAAGGAGTCGCGTACGTTTACGTTGGCGGCCTTCCGTACGACCTCACTGAGGGCGACCTCCTTGCGGTCTTTGCCCAGTAAGACTCACCCATAGTTTCCAATGTTCGCAAAGAGGTGTCATGGTTCCGTGTGCACGACTCGCTGTAGTGCACTGTAAAAAGTTGCGCTGCTCCATTCTTTATAGACGTCAAGCTTCCTCGACTAGCTGCCTTTTTCTCACTTTCCAGTCCGCTCTCCTTCTCATTCTTTCCTCTTCCCTTACCGTCCCTTCCCACGTGGCTAGGTACGGTGAAATAATGGATGTGAATCTGGTGCGGGACAAGTCCACCGGCAAGTCCAAGGGCTTCGCGTTTCTGGCGTACGAGGACCAGCGCAGCCACCATCCTCGCTGTAGGTGCGTTCCTTCGTATGTTGGCCTGGGTGTATCCTGTTGATGCCTTAGCGTGACCACCTCGGATCAAATACATCAGCAATTCAGCTATGATCACTAAGAGAGTTTCTACTGGACTTGAACGGTTCCTGCCAAATCCGCCCCCCCCTCACTCCGCCATCCCAACCGCCTCCTTCCACCCTTTCTCTCGCTCTTCCCTCCTCCCGCTGTGCAGACAACCTGAACGGCGCTAAGGTTGCGGGGCGGATAGTAAAGGTGGACCATGTGGCGGACTACAAGAGGATAGCCAAGGAGGATGAGGAGGAGCGGGAGAAGCGCCGGGAGGAGAACGGAGTCTGCTATGCGTTCCAAAGAGGGGAGTGCACACGAGGGGACAACTGCCGATTTTCTCATGATGCCCAGGTAGAGTTCGCCTGAATATCAGAAAGTCTCTCACTTGGTGCTCTCAAACTAGGGCCCGATTCAATCCCAAACGATGTTTGGCGTTCCTTCGTTCTGTCTTCCCCACCACCAGAGAAACGCTGACACGGGATGGGGCGGGAAGGAGGACACGGTACGGGGAACAGAGAGCCGCAGCAGGGCGAATTTCGAGCAGCGCGAAGAGCGAGGAGAATGGTGGGAGAGGCGGTGGTGGGAGGCCAGACGGGGGAAGAGAGGAGGAGGGAGGGAGAGAAAATGGGGAGGGTGGCGATGATAGAACCCAGAGATGGGCGCAAGAGGAAGTTCCTGGGCGGAGAGGGCAATTTGAGGAGGTGAAGGGCGGAGGGGAAGGTGTCAGGGGGAGAGAAGGTCATAGGAGAGAGGAGGGAAGGCACAAGGCGCGACAGACTGGGAAGGGAGAACGTGAGAGGAAGGATGGGCATTGCGTCAAGGAAGAGTGTGATCGAGCAAGAGGGGTTTAAGAATGAAGCGAATGAGGGGAGAGATGACAGGCTGAGAGGAGAGGAGGATGAAGGCAGGGGTAAGGATGAGTGGAGGAAGGTCAGAAGCAGGGAAGGTGGTGAGAGGCATGGGAAGCGGGAAGAGAGGGGTAAGGATGATCTAGAAGAGAGGAGAGGTGCAGGACGGCAGTTGGAGGAAAAACTACTGAGGTTCAAGGGCAGTGATGACAAGCACAAGCGGCGAAGGGAGGAGGATGAGGAAGAGAGGCCAAAGCGCAAGAGTGATGAAGACAGAAGGCAGAGGAAAAGGGATGAGGATTGTCGTAGGTGACTGGGATGCACTGATTGTGGCAGGGCACCAGTGACCTGTCTCCCTTGTGGTCAACCTGGTGACTACAAAGGTCACCATCTCCAAAGGTTATTCGATCTGCTGTTCATAACGTGACATAACCTGCAGCTTTTGTTGCATGCAGGGCAGGTTCTTGCCCCTACACTTCCTCCGTTTCCCCAAGTCAAACTCATAGGCATTCAAATGTCAGCAGCCACTGCCATGGAGTCCAAAAATGAAGCACCACCCCAACCAGATGCAATGTAGGCATCAAGATTCAAGACATACGGAAGGACGGCAATAGACATCCAACACCAGTGTGAGCCAGCACTGCAAGCCACCAGTTGACAAGGCAGCAGCATGTCGCAACGCTATATCATCTTCTTATCCCCGACAGCTCCGGGCAGCTCTTAACCAAAGCACTGTTCCCCGGGCACGGGCGGCGGAATGTAGCCGTAGTCCAGCAGCTGCAGCCCGAACACCACCACGGCCGCCAGCAGCGTCAGGTACGCCAGCCCCTCCGCCGCCCCCAGCAGCCCGTAGGGGCCGTTGGGCAGCCCCTTGCGGTGGAGGCCTTGGTGTACGCGGACCACCCCACGAGCCCCACTATCGCCAGGTACGCCACTCCCTCCAGCGCGCCCAAACTGCCGCCTGGCCCCGGGGGCAGCCCGCAGCCTGCAGGGAGAAGGAAGGGTTTTGTTAAAAGCGCGAGTGGACGGGGTCAGTGACTTTGCGAAGTTGTGTGGAGTGGGCACGGAGAAAATTAAGGAAGGCAGCAGGCCGTTGGAGTCGCATGGGAGGCGAAGTTGGGTATCGTTATCGCGCATGTCAACGGGATGGCGGTAATGGGGGCAATGTCAGAGTAGCGGCGGCGGAAGTGGCGGGAACGGTGGCGCTCACCGGTGGTCTTGAGGGTGAAGAGCGACCACGCAACCACGGGAACGGAAATCAGCCCGCTCACAGCCCCCACGATCTCCGCCGTGCTGCTCCCCTCATCGCTCGCCTTCGCGCGAACAAGCGTGCGTTGAACGCGGGGAAGAGCGCGCGAAGCAGTGATTCGCGCATGGAGCGCGGGGGTTACGCGGGTGCGCGCGGAGGAAAGGGCCGCGGGGATGGTAGCCGTTGAGCGCAGGGGGAGCGCAACAGCCGCTGAGGTGAGCATTGCGGTAGCCATGGTGAAAATGTGGAACAGCTTTCCATCGCCGCAAACGAAGTTTCTTTTGTAAATAAAATGAGATGTTGTAGCTACAATATGGAATCAGCTCTCGTAGCTCAGTTGGTTAGAGCGTATGGCTGTTAACCGTAAGGTCGGTGGTTCAAGCCCACCTGGGAGCGGCGTTTTGCTTCAGCTGGACCTGTTGATGGACGTTTTGTTTTGTTCCAATTTCTCAGTACACTTGTCTGTGTTCCCTCATCCCCTCCACTCCACTTGAAGGCATCTCTCTCATTTCCTCCCGCTTTTTTTTCTCGTGCCCCTCACGATACCTTGGCCTCGATCCGCCTGCTTCGACACTGATCGGAAGCTCAACGCGAGGCGGTAGGCCAATGTTTGCGGGAAACGACTAGCCTGGACTCCAACGACTGAACGACCAATTCGTAACCTGGGGGTTGTTTTTCTGGGAGTAGATCGAGTGATTTTGTGGGCGTATAGGTAAACGGCAGCAGCACGCGATGACGACGCGGATCACGCCGGGGGTGGGCGCGAACCTGATCGGGCAGCACGCGCAGGAGCGCAACCAAGATGCCACGGCCTATGTCGGCAACCTCGACCCGCAGGTGCGTTGCGCTCCTGTGCCTCGCAGCGCGCTTAGTTCTGTCCGTGCGCTAATAACACTCGGTTGCATCCGCGTGGTTGTGGGTCCTCGTCGCCGCTATGTCATGCATTGGCCTCAGCCATCCCGCGTTTGCTTACGGCAAAACCTCCCTGCAGCCCCCACTCTGTTCATTCTTTACCTACCCCTTTACCTACCCCTTTACCTACCCCTTTACCTACCCTCCCCCTCTCCTGTCCCCCTTGTTCATTTCCCCCTGTGCCCTTGTCCCCTCCACGCTCCCCCACGTTCTCCGCTGTGTCCGTTGTCCCCCTCACGCTCACCATTTCCCCCATGCCCCACCCCTTTTCCCCCTGTGCTCAATGCGACCCCCGTTTCCCTGTGTGTCCCTGATCCCCCATGCTCCGCCTCTTCCTCCTGTGCCTTTTCCCCCCTCATTCACCCCTGTGCCCTTTTCCCCCCTCATTCACCCCTGTGCCCTTTGGACCTCCCCGTGCCTTCCCTCTTTCTCACCTGTGTGTGCCCCTTTCCCCCCGTGATGCTTTTTTTCCCCTGTGCCCCTTTCCACCCATACCTCCCCCTTTTCCCCTCTGGGCCCCTGTCCCCCTATCGCTCCCCCGCGCGCCACGCCCCACGAGCGCAGATGTCGGAGGAGCTTATCTGGGAGCTCTTCGTGCAGGCGGGGCCCGTCGGTGAGCCACGGGGCTGGAAGGGGGGTTGCAGGGGGAGTTGTGGACGGGCTGGGGGCCGTTGGGAGGCGCATGGAAAGGTCAAGAATGGAAAGGGGTTGAGAATGGGATGGTCAAGAATGGGATGGTATTATTCCATCCCAATGTAGCACGCATTATGCCGCTCCTCCTCTTCCTGATCCCGTTTCTTTTCATGCCGACCTCTGCTCCTCACTTTTCTCTGTGTATCCCCGCAACTTTTTTCTTGGAGCTGCAGTCCCGGGTGCGGGACTGGAGCTGCAGTCCCGGGCGCGGGACTGGAGCTGCAGTCCCGGGCGCGGGACTGGAGCTGCAGTCCCGGGCGCGGGACTGGAGCTGCAGTCCCGGGCGCGGGACTGGAGCTGCAGTCCCAGGCGCGGGACTGGAGCTGCAGTCCCAGGTGCGGGACTGGAGCTGCAGTCCCAGGTGCGGGACTGGAGCTGCAGTCCCAGGTGCGGGACTGGAGCTGCAGTCCCAGGTGCGGGACTGGAGCTGCAGTCCCAGGTGCGGGACTGGAGCTGCAGTCCCAGGTGCGGGACTGGAGCTGCAGTCCCAGGTGCGGGACTGGAGCTGCAGTCCCAGGTGCGGGACTGGAGCTGCAGTCCCAGGTGCGGGACTGGAGCTGCAGTCCCAGGTGCGGGACTGGAGCTGCAGTCCCAGGTGCGGGACTGGAGCTGCAGTCCCAGGTGCGGGACTGGAGCTGCAGTCCCAGGTGCGGGACTGGAGCTGCAGTCCCAGGTGCGGGACTGGAGCTGCAGTCCCAGGTGCGGGACTGGAGCTGCAGTCCCAGGTGCGGGACTGGAGCTGCAGTCCCAGGTGCGGGACTGGAGCTGCAGTCCCAGGTGCGGGACTGGAGCTGCAGTCCCAGGTGCGGGACTGGAGCTGCAGTCCCAGGTGCGGGACTGGAGCTGCAGTCCCAGGTGCGGGACTGGAGCTGCAGTCCCAGGTGCGGGACTGGAGCTGCAGTCCCAGGTGCGGGACTGGAGCTGCAGTCCCAGGTGCGGGACTGGAGCTGCAGTCCCAGGTGCGGGACTGGAGCTGCAGTCCCAGGTGCGGGACTGGAGCTGCAGTCCCAGGTGCGGGACTGGAGCTGCAGTCCAGGTGCGGGACTGGAGCTGCAGTCCCAGGTGCGGGTGGGTGGGGACTGGAGCTGCAGTCCCAGGTGCGGGACTGGAGCTGCAGTCCCAGGTGCGGGACTGGAGCTGCAGTCCCAGGTGCGGGACTGGAGCTGCAGTCCCAGGTGCGGGACTGGAGCTGCAGTCCCAGGTGCGGGACTGGAGCTGCAGTCCCAGGTGCGGGACTGGAGCTGCAGTCCCAGGTGCGGGACTGGAGCTGCAGTCCCAGGTGGCGACTGGGAGCTGCAGTCCCAGGTGCGGGACTGGAGCTGCAGTCCAGTCCCGTGCGGGACTGGAGCTGCAGTCCCAGGTGCGGGACTGGAGCTGCAGTCCCAGGTGCGGGACTGGAGCTGCAGTCCCAGGTGCGGGACTGGAGCTGCAGTCCCAGGTGCGGGACTGGAGCTGCAGTCCCAGGTGCGGGACTGGAGCTGCAGTCCCAGGTGCGGGACTGGAGCTGCAGTCCAGGTGCGGGACTGGAGCTGCAGTCCCAGGTGCGGGACTGGAGCTGCAGTCCCAGGTGCGGGACTGGAGCTGCAGTCCAGGTGCGGGACTGGAGCTGCAGTCCCAGGTGCGGGACTGGAGCTGCAGTCCCAGGTGCGGGACTGGAGCTGCAGTCCCAGGTGCGGGACTGGAGCTGCAGTCCCAGGTGCGGGACTGGAGCTGCAGTCCCAGTCCCAGGTGCGGGACTGGAGCTGCAGTCCCAGGTGCGGGACTGGAGCTGCAGTCCTCCCACTCCCATCGCCATCCCCTCTCCCGCTCTCCTCTTTCCTCACCCCTCTCCCAGGTGCCTCATGCTTGCACGCACCGCATCTCCCCGCTCTTTAACTCGTCTTGCCCCCCCGTCCCCCTCGTTCCCCCGTCCCCCCCGTCCGCCCTCCTCCCCCGCGCCCCAGTGAACGTGTATGTGCCCAAGGACCGAGTGACGGGGCAGCACCAGGGGACTGGCTTGTGGAGTTCCGCTCAGAAGAGGACGCCGATATGTGCGTGGGGGGGGGGGGGGGGGTGCTTTCAGAGTGGGGGGGAGATGCGTGTGGTGTGGTGATTTGGGGGATTTTTGTGTAATGAGTTGTGGGTGTTGGCTTGTTAGTGGTTTTATGCGTACTTGTGAGTGGGAAGGTGGTGACTTGTCGGCTCACTCACACTCACCTCCACACACACTCACCTTCACAGTCACGACTCACACAGTCGCCCTCATTGTCATCACTCACACTTACATTCTCCACTCACACTTACCACTAACAGTCACCACTCAGTCACACTCACACTCACACTCTCCACTCACACTCACCGTCACACTCATACACAGGAACACTCACCACTCACACCACACCCACATACCGCTGTCTCGCACACCACTCGCACAGTATCTGCTGCTGCCGTTTTGTACTGTCTCACCTATCTGCTGCTGTGACGCCCATGACCGTCACACCGTGTGCAGGCAGTGAAGGTGCTGAACATGGTGAAGGTGTTTGGCCGCCCCATGCGCGTCAACAAGGCCAG